CTTGCTCACTCACTTGCTGTGGATTCTTGTGATCTTAATTGCTAAGAACAAGAGTATGTAGACGGTCAGTCATGGGGAAGCAGCATCTCCTAGTGGCCTTTGAAGCAGCCACCAGCAACTGGTGAGTATAACAAGAGGTTAGGAAAAGATAGGCTTTGAGATCAATCAGACCTATGCTCAGACCCTGGGCCCCCACTTCAGACTCAAGGCACCTAAGGCAAGTGATGTGTCGTGGGTTTCAGTTTCCCTGTCTGTGAAATAGGGATCCGAGCAGATGACTTCTAATGTGGGGGTAAAGATTCAATAAGAACAGCATGAGTGATGTGAGTGCAGTGTCTGGACCGTAGGACACATCCAGTAAAGGGCAGCTGTTCTCATCGGTGTTGTTGAGTACACAACATTGGTGCTATAGACACAACAGTCCCTGGCTTCAGGGACTCACAATCGGGTTCCAGGGATAGACAGAGCTCCAACGTGACATGTCACGGCAAGCATCATAACAAATCATGAGCAAGGAGCTTTAGAGTTACTTGCAGGAGGCACAGAGTGAGAATTGAACCAATGCCTGCTATTACCATTGACTGGGAATCCTTATTTTGAAAGCACCCAGGAATGGGTGGCTACATATGCTTTGGGAAGAAATGTCCAGGAGGGCTGCATGGAGGAGGTGACATCTAAGCTGAGTCTTAACAACAAACAGGGGTTTGCCAGGTGAAGAAGTGGAGGAATGGGGATCCCAGCAGAGCAAGGGTGCGAAGGAGTTGCGGCTGCACTCTCTGGATCAGGGGTTCTCACCTGGGGGTGACTTTGAGTCCCAGGACATGGATGTTTTCTGAAGACATTTTTTGGTTGTCACAACTGAGCAGGAGCTGCTGGCATTCAGTTGACAGAGACCAGGGATGCTATTAAACATGTTATGAGACACAGAACAGCTCCCCACAGAAAGAATGACCTGGCCCTAAAAGTCAACCGTCCCAAGGTTGACAAACCCTGCCCCAGGCACTGGGGAGCCACAGAGGGTTTGTGAGCACCACCCCAGGGCACCAGTCTCGCCCATTTGGGCTCTTCTTGGAGGTTCTTGTTTCAAAGTCATTTACTCCTCTAAGATCTCAGAGTGGCGGGACATGGTGGTGCTGTGGGGGCCACTATTCTGCGGAGCTACGGGCAAGTACTGACCCAGAAGTGGGGGAAAATGAGAGCGATTCCCGGAAGAGAGACCAAGAAACTCTGGAGACCAATGATGTTTGGAGAATGCAGCCTCCACTCACAAAGGAACCGGTTCTTCCTTCATCTCTCATTATAAACCTGCCAGGGCTTGATTGAGGACCGGAGCCCACTTAAGGGGACGTGAACTACCCTTTCTAAAATGATCTTTTTATTTTGATAACATACATACAACCTGAAACTTACCTATGTATTTCTTTTCTTCCTTTCCTTTTCTTTATTTTTTATTTTAGTTTTTGAGAAAGCCCACTGCATTTACCTTTTATTACTGCATTTCCACATAACCACTTTAAAGTATACAATTCAGTGGCATCAAGTACATTTACGATGTTGCATTAACACCACCTTCGCCTAGCTCCAGATAAAGGTAATATTTTTTTATTAGCCCAGAACTAAACACTGTATCTATTAACAGTCACTCCCCATTCTCCCCTCACCCCAGCCCCTGGAAACCACTGACAGGTTCCACATGCTACAAGCGTTTCATTGCAGCATCGTTCACGAAGGCCAACAGGTGAGGCACAACCCTCATGTCCACGAAGAGGTGACACATATTCATAAAATGGAAAATCGTTCAGCCATAAACAGGAATAAAGTTCAGATGCATGCTGTGGTGTTTTAATACTGTTACAATTGCATGCTACAATGCAAATGAACCCTAAAACATTATGTTCAGTGAAAGAAATGAGACACAAAAGGCCCCATCTCGTATGATTCCATTTATGTAGAATGTTCAGAACAGACACATCCGTAGAAACAGAAAGCAGAGTGGTAGTTTACTATTTCATAAACTTTAAAGACTTGGAACCAACCCAAATGTCCATCAATGACAGACTGGGTTAAGAAAATGTGGCACATATACACCATGGAATACTGTGCAGCCATACAAAAGGATGAGTTCATGTCCTTTGTAGGGAATATCACAAGTACAATGCCTATTATATTTTTAAAGATAGAGTCTTGCTCTGTTGCCCAGGCTTGAGTGCAGTGGTGTGATATCGGCTTACTGCAACCTCTACCTCCCAGGTTCAAGCGATTCTCCTGCCTCAGCCTCTTGAGTAGCTGGAACCACACACGCCTGGCTGATTTTTGTATTTTTAGTAGAGGCAAGGTTTCACCATGTTGCCCAGGCTGGTCTCGAACTCCTGATCTCAAGTGATCTGCCCACCTTGGCCTCCCAAAGTACTGGGATTACAGGCGTGAGCCACTGCACCTGGTCATACATTGCCAATCTTTTTTTAAAAAGAGATTAGCTAAGCATGGTGGTTCATGCCTGTAGTCCCAGCTATTTGGGAGGGCTGAGGAGGCAGGATCGCTTGAATCCAGGAGCAGAAGGCTGCAGTGAGCTGTGATAATTGTGCCACTGCACTCCAGCCTGGGTGACAGAGCCAGACCCTGTCTTTTGAAAAAAATAAAATATGTTTAAGTGGTTCATAAAGACACATGGGAATCTCATGAAATTAAAGTTACTTGCTGAGCAAAGACCATGCACAGTCACTATTTACTGTATTAATTATGATATATAGCATCTACTGCATGCTAGGTCACCTAAGAAAAGCTCATTTACTTCCCACAACAACCCTTTGAGGTAGGGAGGGGAAGATGGTGGTACAGAGAGATAAAGGAATCTGCTCAACTTTATAAAATATTGGCCTGGTGCAGTGGCTCACTTCTGTAATCCCAGTATTTTGGGAATCCCAGGCAAAAGGATGACTTGACGTGTGGAGTTCCAGACCAGCCTGGGTGACATAGCAAGATGCCATCTCTATAACAAAAAATAAAACATTAGCTGGGTGAGGTGGTGTGTGCCTGTAGTCCCAGCTACTTGGGAGACTGAGGTAGGAAGATTGCTTGAATCCAGGAGTTTGAGGTTGCAGTGAACTATGATTGCACCACTGCTCTCCAGTCTGGGCAACCGAATGAGACTCCGTCTCTACAAAAATAAATACATAAATATAAAAATAGAAAATCATTACACAACAGTCAGAGGAGGGATTTGAACTGAGGTCTGCTGATTCCCAAGCCCCTCTTTCTGTCTGATGGCTACATTTCACTGCCTCAGAACATAGAAGCATACCTCATGGGAGCTGGAAAACAATCAGAACATGATTTCTGGCTCTTTTCTTAGAGCAACACAGTCTCCTGTCTCTGCCGTCCTACATGGATAACCCCAGAGGAAGTCTGATTGGTTCAGATTTAGAGATGCTCTCTGTTCCAAGGAGTTGTAGCCATGGGTGGCAACATCTCGTGATACCTGGAGCTGCGGGATGAACAGGATTTATCAGAAGGGAGTAGAAGGACAGAGAAGGAATGAATGGAAGTTCCAGTAAAGGAATATGTTTTCTTCTTATTTTTATTTTTTTATTTTTTTGAGATGGAGTCTCGCTCTGTCGCCAGGCTGGAGTCCACTGGTGCCATCTCGGCTCACTGCAAGCTCCGCCTCCCAGGTCTCAGTCTCTCAAGTAGCTGGGACTACAGGCATGTGCCACCACGCCCGACTAGTTTTTATATTTTTAGTAGAGTTGGGGTTTCGCCATTTTGGCCAGGCTGGTCTCCATCTCTTAACCTCGTGATCCACCTGCCTCAGCCTCCCAAAGTGCTGGGATTATAGGTGTGAGCCACTACGCACGGCCATTTTCTTCTTTTCTTAAGAGATAGGGTCTGGCTCTGTCACCCAGGCTGGAGTGCAGGGGTGTCATCATAGCTTGCTGCAACCTTGAACTCCTGAGCTCAAGCCATCCTCCCCCATCAGCCTTCAAAGTGCTGGGATTACAGATGTGAGCCACCAAGCCAGCCTGGAGCATTTTCGTCTGGGGGCGGGGGGCCACATAGAGAAATAGTGAAGGGTATAGTTTTTAGAACCAGCCCACCTATAGCTTCAAGTCTCCGGATCTACCATTTCAACAGCTTTGCCTTCAGCAAGCCCTGCACGTCAATATTCTCAATGACTATGCTCAAGGTGCTTCAAAAGGGGGTTGAAAAAATAGTACCCTTCTCACTAGGTTGATGAGGGTATTAAATTATAGGAGGCACAGAGTGGGAACAGAACCAAAGCCAGCTTTACCATTTATCAAGAGTAGCCCCTTGGGCAAATCCAGGTATGGTGAAGGCTGAGAACTTTTCTTCATGCAGTAACTGACGTCTCCCTGTCACATCTCACCCCGGGCACAGCCTCCATGCAGAGAGCCAATCACTCCACAGTGACCCAATTCATCCTCGTGGGCTTCTCCGCCTTCCCCCACCTCCAGCTGACGCTCTTCCTGCTGTTCCTGCTGATGTACCTGTTCACGCTGCTGGGCAACCTGCTCATCATGGCCACCGTCTGGAGCCAGCGCAGCCTCCACACGCCCATGTACCTCTTCCTGTGCCTCCGTCTCCGAGATCCTCTACACCGTGGCCATCATCCCGCGCATGCTGGCCGACCTGCTGTCCGCGCAGCGCTCCATCGCCTTCCTGGCCTGTGCCAGTCAGATGTTCTTCTCCTTCAGCTTCGGCTTCACCCACTCCTTCCTGCTCACCGTCATGGGCTACGACCGCTACGTGGCCATCTGCCGCCCCCTGCGCTACAACGTGCTCATGAGCCCGCGGGGCGGCGCCTGCCTGGTGGGCTGCTCCTGGGCTGGCGGCTCAGTCATGGGGCTGGTGGTGACCACGGCCATTTTCCGCCTCACCTTCTGTGGACCCAGTGTGATCCACCATTTTGCTTGCCATGTGCCACCTCTGTTGAAGTTGGCCTGTGGAAATAATGTACCCGCTGTAGCCCTGGGCGTGGGCTTGGTGTGTATCACGGCCCTGCTGGGCTGTTTTCTCCTCATCCTCCTCTCCTATGTCTTCATCGTGGCCGCCATCTTGAAGATCCCTTCTGCTGAAGGCCGGAACAAGGCCTTCTCCACCTGTGCCTCTCACCTCACTGTGGTGGTCGTGCACTATGGCTTTGCCTCTGTCATTTACCTGAAGCCCAAAGGTCCCTGGTCTCTGGAAGGTGACACCTTGATGGGCATCACCTACACGGTCCTCACGCCCTTCCTCAGCCCCATCATTTTCAGCCTCAGGAACAAGGAGCTGAAGGTCGCCATGAAGACCTTCTTCAGTAAACTCTACCCAGAAAAAAATGTAACGATCTAGGAGAAATTCACTGGGCACAACTAAATTGGATTACCGAAGGCTATTGTTAAAAATTACATTCCGTGGTGGCTCACGCCTGTTATCCCAGCACTTTGGGAGGCCGAGGGAGGCGGATCACCTGAGGTCAGGAGTTTGAGACCAGCATCGCCAACATGGCAAAACCCCATCTCTACTAAAAATACAAAAATTAGCCAGGCATGTTGGCACATGCCTGTAACCCTAGCTACTTGGGAGGCTGAGGCATAAGAATCGCTTGAACCTGGTAGGTGGAGTTTGCAGTAAGCCGAGATCACGCCACTGCACTCCAGCCTGGGCGACAGCCTGAGACTCTGTCTCAAAAAGAAAAAAAAAAAAGAGAGAAAAGAAAAAAAGAAAATTACATTCCAGCTAAGCACTGTGGCTCACACTTATAATTTCAGCACATTGGGATTCCAAGGCAGGAGGATTGCTTGATGCCAGGAGTTCAAGACCAGCCTTGACAACATAACAAGACCGCATATCTACAAAAACTTAAAAAAAAAAAATAGCTTGGCATTGTGGTACATGCCTGTAGTCCCAGCTACTTGGGAGACTGAAGTGGGATTATTGCCTAAGTCCAGAAGTTTGAGGTTACAGTGAACTATGACTGTGCCACTGCAATCTAGCATGGGTGACAGAGTGAGACCCTATCTCTCCCCCCACCCCCAAAAGAACGACAATCCATGAACATGTAGTAACCTTTATTTGTCATGCTTTAAGGTTTACAAGGGACCTTGTAGATGACATACAGTTATAAACACAAAGGTTAATCAGCATCAGGGATGTATTTGAAGTGGAAGTGTGTGTGAGATACTAACACAGAGAAAACCAGGTTTGATTATTTCTATCTGCTGCAAGATACTGTGTCAGTCAGCACCCAGCCTCAATCTAGACTCGTCTTGCCAGAAGCCAGGGTCATCTAATACCCCCAATAATGCAAACCAGCAATGCAAAGAGAGATGGAAGATTTCATGCCCCGCTCTCCATGAGTGCAACACCAGGTAGCTACAACTCAGATTTTGTAAGGCTACTCCAGATTATAGCAGAGGAGAGAAAAGTACCCTAAATTTCAGCTTTGCACAGATCTATGCAATAGAAGTTAGAAAGAGCAATAAACAGACTCTCTGAAAACATCAAGGAAACCTTAGCATGTCAAGTGTGAGCCTTGAATAATTGTAGAGGGACTGAGATGTCTTCATGATTGGATCAAGGAAAAAAATCATACTGTGAGATACCAAATGCTGTGTTAGAAGGTGACATGGCTCGTGGGCCAGCCAGGAACTCTCTGTTGAATCCGGACATTGAGTGCAGAGCCCAGGATGAGAGTTTATCTCATGGCCGGGCATGGTGGCCCATGCCTGTAATCCCAGCACATTGGGAGGCCGAGGTGGACAGATCCCCTGAGGTCAGGAGTTCGAGACCAGCCTGAGCAAATTGCTGAAACCCTGTCTCTACTAAAAATACAAAAATTAACTGGCTTGGTGGCAGGCGCCTGTAATCCCAGCTACTCAGGAGGCTGAGACAGGAGAATCGCTTGAACCCCAGAGGCGGAGGTTGCAGTGAGCTGAGATCGCACCACTGCACTCCAGCCTGGGTGACAGAGAGAGACTCTGTCTCAAAAGAAAAAAAAAGAAAGTTTATCTCATGGTCTCTCAGGCATCACGCCCACCCACTTCCCAATAGGCAGGGATTTAAGATTGACACTACTGTGGAGTATTTATATATGTATTGACAATAGGTCTTCCTGGGTTTGAGCTATGCATCATTTTTTTCTAAAGTGTGAATTCTCTATCATTTAAGTAGTCAAAACATCCCACATTAGCATGAAGAATGAGGATGTGGGAAACGATTTCAATCCAAACTTGGAAACTCAGAGAAGCTCCCTTTGCAGAATATGTGCTACAGTTCATGTTTCTTGTTACCCACCAGGCATGTTGTATCATTCGCGCCTCACAAGGTGGGAGTGAGAGCAGATACAATCACAGTCCCTCTGTTTGATAGAAGGGGAAACTGAGGCACAAAAGATGCATGGCTCATCAGAGACCACCCAACTTGGAAGAGCCAAGCTTCGATGTCAGTCTTTTCGGATTCCGAGTCTTCTCCATTCAACACTTCAAGCACTGCCTTTTTACAGTCGGATCCTAATTTCCGGAGGACGGGTGCTTCTTCAAATGAAACATCTCAGCATCCTTAGCCTCTTTTATGGCACAGAAGACAGCTGCAACCCTCTATGCCCTGAAGCATGCATCCTTGGAACACAGATGGAATATTTCTACAAATTCAGCAGCGCTTCATGATTTTAAAACAAGTTTTAGTCTTGTAGAAATTCTTGAGTAACTTCTATGCATTGAGTTAAGATTCTCCCCTCTCCTGACGAAAGAGCCACCTGGGCAGGAACATAAGTCAGGCCTCCTCTCCCCTGCCCTCCTCTCCCCTCCCCTCCCCTTCCCTCCCCTTTTCTTTTCTTTTCTTTTTTTTCTTTCTTCATAAAAGACCCCATTGGCCTCTGATCCTACCGGTATCCAAATGGATAGAGACCCTGAAAAGAGGCTGGATACCCACTATGAGTTAGGCACTGGATGTCTTATGCTAACTTATTCTGATCCTTTAAGCTGCCAGCTGCAAGTGATCATGAGGTTTGATCATCTCATACATTATCACGTCCAGCATCAGCACGATACTTGGACGATATGTCAATTCTTAACAAATATTCCTAAAGTGGACTAATTTAATCCTACAACATTGAACAATCCAGAATGCTGACTTACGTATTTGCTGTGAAAAAGAAACCTCATTGCCCCCCAGGGCAGTGGAAAAGTGTGTGTGGGGAGTCCTGTTTAAGTGAGAAGGACTTGGGTTGAAATCCTGCCTCCCAATTTCCACCAATTCGATTGATATCTTATAGACACTCCACGTCGGTATAAACAAAAGGATGTTAAGAGCAGTGACATGTATGATTGAAAAAGCACTTTGGGAGGCGAGGCAGGTGGATCACTTGAGGTCAGGAGTTCGAGACCAGCCTGGCCAACATGGTGAAACCCCGTCTCTACTAAAAATACAAAAATTAGCCAGGCGTGGTGGTGGGCGCCTGTAGTCCCAGCTACTCGGGAGGCCGAGGCAGGAGAATTGCTTGAGCCTAGGAGGTGTACATTGTATTATATCTCCTCTACTAAGAACCTTCCAATGGCTCCCTGTCTCCCTCACAGGGAAATCCGAATTTTACAGTGCCAACAAAGCTCTACACACCTGGGCCCTGCTGCTTCTTCTCTGACCTCACCTCCCTTTTCTCCTTCCCTCAGTCACTCTGCTCTAGCCTCCCCACTGTCCCTCAAACACACCAAATATACTCCTACCTCAGGACCTTTGCACGTGCTGTGCCCACTACCGGGAATTCCCTTCTCCCCACAAGATGTCCACATGGCTTCCCTCTCACTGCCTAAAGCTCTCTGCTTGAATATCAGAAAATCATTAGATACGCCCATTAATAAAGGACAGGCTTGGTGGGTTTTTTGTTATCATTTGTTTTTGTTTTGTTTTGTTTTTTGGAGACAGGGTCTTGCTCTTTTGCCCAGGCTGGAGTGCAGTGGTGTGATCGTGGCTCACTGCAACCTCAACCACCTGAGCTCAAGTAATTCTCCCACCTCAGCCTCTTGAGTATCTAGGACCACAGCCATGTGCCACCATCGCTGGCTAATTTTTAGAATTTTTTGTAGAGACAGGGTTTCACCATGTTGCCAGGGTTGGTCTTGAAATCCCCAGCTCAAGCAATCTGCCTGCCTTGGCCTCCAAAAGTGCTGGGATTACAGGCATGAGTCACCAGGCCCAGCCAATAAAAGACAGGCGTGAGCCACCGTACCTGGGCTAAGATTAGTTTAATAATTATTTGTGGCCTTTGTCTCCAGAACTGTGCTAGTTTTGGGGGTGTAGAGAGGCCTTTGTTTCTGTTTCCAGCCTTTGAGGCATTCGCATGTTACCTGGTGCAGTGATACACAGAGAAATATCAGGACTGTGACCAAGATATGGATTGTATTAGTCAGGGCTCTTCATAGAAACGGAACCAATAAGATATAGACAGATAGATAGATGATAAATAGGTAATGAATAGAGAGATAGATAGGTAAGTAGGTAGATGGGTAGATATATATTATAAGTGGCAGGTGCAGTGGCTCACGCCTGTAATCCCAGCAGTTTGGGAGGCCAAAGCAGGTGGATCACTTGAGGTCAGGAGTTTCAGACCAGTCTGGCCAACATGGCAAAACCCCGTCTCCACTAAAAATACAAAAATTAGCGGGGCGTGGTGGCGTGTGCCTGTAATCCTAGCTGCTCAGGAGGCTGAGGCAGGAGAATCACTTGAACCGAGGAGGTAGAGGTTGCATTGACTCAAGATCGTGCCACTGTACTCCAGCCTGGGCGACAGAGTGAGACTCCATCTAAAAAAGAAAAAAAATATATATATATATATACACACACACACACACACATACATATGGTATTGGCTCACAAAATTATGGAGGCTGAAAAGTCTCACAATATGCCATGTGCAGGGTGAGAACCAAGAAAACCAATGTTGACTCAGCCAATAGTTTGAAGGCCTGAGAGCTGAAAGCTAATGGTGTAGAGTCCAATCTGGGCCTGAAGGCCTAAGAACCAGGAGCAGTAAGAGCAAGGAGAAGATGATCAGGCAAAGGGAGTGTGAGTCCAGCCTCCTTTGCTGTTTTGTTCTATTCGGACCCTCCACAAATTAGAGGATGCCCTCTCACACTGGAAAGGCCCACCTGTTTTATTCAATCCACCAATCCAAATGTTCATCTCTTCCAGAAACGCCTTCACCAACATACCCAGAAATAACATCCAATCAGATCTCTGAGCATCTCCTGACCCAGTCAAGTTGACACGTAAAATGAACCATCCCGTGAACAAAGTTCTAAGGGAGCCAGGAGGGGTAAGACTGCTGAACCTGGAGCTGTATTAGCCCGGTCTCTGCATTCCCATGCTTCTCCACCAGTGGTGATTTTGCTCCCCTTCCCAGGGGACATTTGGAAGTTTCTAGAGACAATTTTGGTCTTTGCAGCTGAGGCAGAGGGTATATATGTTAC